GCCCTCGTGTAGCTTTGCGTGAAATTCAAAAAACAAACAAACCTACCTCTTCTATTTTAGGCCAATTAATAAATTCGTTTTAAGTACCATACAAATGAGAAAAAACATTGAGATAGAAAAAGAATTAATACAGTAGAAATTTATATCTGTGAAGGTAAATTAAGAGCGATCTATAATGTACTAAGCTGTCACCATAGCAATTCTCCGACTTCAATATGTGTATGTTTGTTCCTCCACCTATATTCGCTGGTTAAATGATTGTTACTAACTCTAATTTAACAAAGTAGTTTGCGCCTAAACGAAACTGTAAAACAATTTCTTATATAGCTCTTCTAACTGTCGTGTATATGATTAAAATGTAAATAGAAGGCAATATTATGATATGATAGACGTTTTATTTCACAAATTAGAGATATCAATTTCTATACAAATCAATATAGTCATGCACAAACATCTTCCCTGTTATCAGTGGTTTAAATTACCCTACAATGCTGCTGCTATAGATACCATGCTAGAATCATCAGTTTCCTACCCACCACAAAGCTTTTATTATTATGGTGTTTATATATATATATATATATATATATGTATATATATAACTGAGTACATAGCGCATTTTATTTCTAAGTTCGTTAGCCTCTCAGACACCTTTTTTTTCTTCTGACTTGGGTGGTGCTGTAGGGATTAGTAGGTTCAGGGTCCTCTATCTTAACAAAAGCCATACCCACAAGACTTTGATCCTCATTCAACTGTCGGACAAACAGTCGTTCACATTCTTACTCCAGCTGCTTGGCTGTTTTGGGGCTCTCACCGCCATTAGCTTGATAAGACAGTTCTAATGGCAGCAAACTATTCTGCAAGCTTATCACCAGAGGAGCTTAAGTCACATGATCTTTCATCGCTACACGTCAAAGGCTCGTACACGTGTAGAATTAATAACGCTTCTCCTCTCAGTGTCAGGGTTTTCGATAGAAGTAATAATGTTGCTGTTTTGTAACTATAGCAACCAAACAAAATGATGCCTGCAAAGCGTTCACTTTAAGACAGATGGAACAGCGATTGAGAGCCTGCAAAGCGTTCACTTTAAGACAGATGGAACAGACAATTTAAGACAATTAACTTTAACCAAGGATAAACTTAAAGTATAAATATCATTTCGGGTCTAATAGCTAAAAAATTTCAAACTTAACAGTAATTTATATATATGTATTTATAATTTATAAATTTTTAAACAAAACTTGTTCGGACTTTACAGGCATCTAACTGTAATTTCACCAAGAATAAAGACTTAAAAAAAAACTGTTGTCAGTATAAGCTGATCAACTGCGATCTTGATATTAAACGATACAACTTTCTTTTGTTTTACAGTAATTTCAGTGTAATTTGGATGCTGTACGTTTTCACAAGAAGCAAACTCCTTTAAAAGTAATTCTTGAAGACTTTAGATTTAACCACAACTACCATTGGTCTGCATTACGTTCTGTGTTGACAACATCACGCATTGCTTCCTTTGGTTAAATACAACGTCAGCTACTGTAGTGTGCGGTGTGTCATTTACCCAACTGTAGATGTCAAAATTAAAATATTTTCACTATACTTAATAAAAAAATATTGTCCTTGTGATTTTCTGTTGCTGTTATTTAATTGTTTTTTCACATAAACATATTTACTTGTCAGGAAATAGAAAAACAGATGATGCCGTTGCGCTTTGAAACCAATGATATGCCACTGTTAGGACTGTAATGAGTCAATGATACCAGACTCCACTTGTAGTCCGTTTGTGTTTTCTTTTTCTGGGTCGTTGGAGGTTTCGCTGATGCTGGCCTCTGGAGAAAGTGTCTCTCCTGTGTTGGGTTCCCTATCCTGGCAGTGAAGGTCGCTGTTGGGGTTTGAACCTCTCTCCATGTCATTTTCACAAATGTAATTTAATCTATTTTCGACTACCAAGCAATTTTCGACTATTTTGCCCTCGGTATCATCTACTGTCTCGATAGTTTCACAAGGAAGTGTTTTGGTTGTCACAGTGACAGTTTCCTTTCCTTCTCTCTTGTCTTCCTTGTGTTGATTTGGGGTTGGTTTGTCGCTTTTGGTACGGTTAGATTTGGAAGTCTTTGGTTTGGAACCAGTGGACTGAGGTTGTTTCTCTGGGGTAACTTTTGAGTCTGAAATGGCGTCTGAATTGTTTTGGCCGTCCTGCTTTTTCCACTTGGTACGTCGGTTCTGGAACCAAATCTTAACCTGAAGAAGAAAAATAATTACATTGGAGATCTGTAAACGTGAGCGTAACTTCATCCTGAATTGTTTCATGAACTATAATAAAAAATAACATATTCAATTATCGCCACATAGATTCTTCAAGCACTACCACCCCACCCCCGAAAAAAAAAACACAACCACAACAACATACTCAGGCAGTAATAAACCAGAAAAACACGTGAGACATTATTTGTCTGTTGCTGACTATTGCTTAATCTACGCTATTGTCTTTGACTTTCTACTGCGCTCATTCTGTGACATTTTACGTAGTTGAAGTGTATTGTATCTATAGTATGCACCCGTAACTTAAGTTTTATCAAGCACTTTTCTAGAGATTTCGAGCGATAATCTAATTTTAATTTACTAGTTCAATAACGCTAATCTATTTGCAAGGTACATTTACCAATTGGTTATGCAATCCTATTCTAATGGAAGCATAAACTTGACGTACGATCTGTTGTTTCTGTAAACTTTATCCGTAAAATAGACCTTACACCTACTACCAGCGATACAGATCTTA